TCTGTTTTCGACCTTTGCATTACCTAAAGCATATGTATAAAACATTGATACTCAATATTATTGCTAGAGTTAATAAGCGAAAATTAATTGAAAAATGTTTGGAATCGGGCAGAACTTGAACCGGCATCGCCAGCGTTCCTCGTTGCTCTAACCAATTGAGCTGCCGAGTCCTACACCTCATCGTAGAATTTTTTCGACCTATTAATACATGCACCTCGATAAATGTTTTAGTAGCATAACTAGAGTTAGCGATATAAATATTTATCGACATGTAACATCACTAGATGTTTGTATATCGAGTAATTACGGAGTTAATTAGCTGTTCGGCAGCGAACGATGTATTGCCAGCAATTGAATTAATGTGTATGGGAAAATGTGGAGTCATTAATAATTATATTTTAACTCTCATCAATTAAATCGAGCTATTTTGACGGTCTAAAACGGAAAAAAATTATAAATTTTTTTTAACTGTGGCGTTGACAATGTAGAGTGTGACAATCGCATTGTTTAAAAATTGAATAACTTTAAAGAATTGTATGTAATGTTTTATCAATACTGTCATTAAACGTACACGCATCTGTGTCCGTTTCACGGATCGATTATTCCTAGGCAAGTGTTTAAACAGTTTTCTGTGCCCTTCACGACCTAAATATTTTATTTGCGAGGATTAAAAACCCAATGCTAAAAAAGACAGCACAAAGACGCTCAACGTAACGGTAACTAATATTTGTCAGTTAGAGAAATTCAGCGTCTGTTTCACTGATCAGTTTTCTTTACAGGCACGTAGTTTTAAATTAACCACTTTAACGGCTTCAAACGCTGATGTTTCGGTGCACGGGGAGACGGTCCCGCGTGACCACGGCTGCTGCGGAGCATCCGAAACGAAACCATTGTTGAAGAAACTTTCAAATAAGTTTAACTAATATATCGCGTTTTAAACCGATAAATTAGTGTTCTATTTAAATGTGTATTACTCGCGTAAACTACAGACAGTAAGCAAGTGCCCTGCCCTAACGAAAAATTCTATTTACAAGGAATCAAACCCAACGCTAAAAGGGTAGATTTTGTACATATAACATTATAGCAACGCTAAATGTAAACTTAACAGGAAGTGGGCTTATAATATAATATTTATATTTACGTATTAAGTTTAATCTATACGTAATGTATGCTAATCCATACTTAGTCGGCTCCGCTTACACAATAATTAAACAATGTTATTTTCATCCAGAAAGTTCACTGTACTTCCAGCATTAGTTTATTAAGCACTCACAACGAATCAATTACTTAAAATTGTTAGTTATAGGCGAAAAGCAGTTTTAATTTATGTGGGTAGTTTATGAATTATGTTTAAGAGAGTTGCGCGAGATATCAATAGGTTAAAATTCAACGGTGACCTGTAGGATACGGTAGCTCAATTGGTTAGAGCAGCACGGAACGCCGTTGATGTCGGTTCGAGTCCTGACCGTGTCGTTTTTTTTCTGACAAGCACGGGGTACATTTGATGTAAGATAAACTACCCCAGCAACATGACACCGAAACTAACGAATTTCACAGAGTGAAACCAAACGCGATGAAACTTCACGGCTTTTCATCTGTGGACGGCGGTTCGATTCCCTGATTTGGATTTGGATTGACTAAAGACAGACACCTTACACTTGATGTAAGGTGAAATACTATAGCAATATAACATCTAAACGTGATATGCGGTCGGCCTATTTTGGCTATGTATAATCAGAACTTTCGACTAAGGTTTTATGGCTTTATCGTTTTTCGATTTCGTGAACTTAACGGAAAAGGTAAATCCCGTTTTCCGGACGGGCATGGCGCAAACACATTTCTGTGTCCGTTTCACTGATCGGTTTTCTTTACAGACGAGTAGTTGTTCAGATTTCTGTGCCAAAACCGTGTTTCCCAATGGGATTCAGACTCAGGAGCTCTCGCGCTTAACACATCTCTAGGCATCATATTTAACTATAGAGAACGGAACGTGACAAAACTTTTTAAAAGATTCATCCGAAAAAAACAAACAAGTTGCAGAAAGGTCTAACAAGATTTCCGCTGATTTTAGTAACATGTTGGACTTAGGAATCGAACCTACGACCTGTTGATGACTTACATTGGACCATACCATTGGACCAACGAACATATTATTTAATCGAAGCCGTAATTTGTACTTGAACAAGCAGAAACAATGAGCCTGTTTGATTTATACGCTATTGTTTCACTTCATTGCTTTATTAAAGAAGTTTTGTGTTAAGGAAATTGATATGGACGACTTTTGCTCACATCTGATATATAATAAGGTCAAGAGCGAGTCGGTAATTCAACTAAAGGTTCCGCACTATTGACCAGGTAAAATTCACATTGTAGTTTATACTGAGTACCTGCGTAACGGTAAAAATGTTGAAAAAGATAGCGTTATGTAGAAGTTATCCTTAATTTTCTATAGTTTACGCGAGTAGTACACATTTAAATAAAACACTTTAACGGTTTAAAACGCGATATATTAGTTAAACTTATAACTTGAAAATGATTTTTAACTTCGGCCCCACGTTTCGGATGCTCTTCAGCAGCCGTGGTCACGGGGAGTCATTTGCAAATAAGTTTAACTAATATTACGCGTTTTAAACCGTTAAAGTGTTTTATGTAAATTCTTAATTTTATTTAGATTTTAGTATTTATTTATAATACTTAAATTATATACCATCATTTCTGAAAATGACAACTCTCTAGCTACCGAGTTTTGTGATTTTTATGAGTATGACAGACAAACACGGGGCTCAGTTTATAGTAGGTATACCCCAGCCGTATAACATCTAAACCAGATGCGCTGTCGTCCTAAAAAAATCCCCGACATTGTAATATCTTATAAGATTAACTTGCAAGAACGACGGGACACGACCGACGTCGTAGGCAATAGTTTAAATCTATTAAGATGAGAGGTTTGCAAAAATAAATTTTAATGTCAAAAATTCTTATTCTACGCGGACGAAGTCGACACGTCGGCAGACACAGCTAGTATAAAATATAGTGAGCATGTATGTACGCCTGTCTTATTAATATTAAACAAGATTGCAGAAGTCGTTTTCTTTGAACGAAATTATTCTCAACATGTGCGCGAATTAATGACAATAATTTATAACACGCTAAACAGTTACTTGTATTAAGTTATTTTCAAAATAAAACTTCGAACCGGCTCTACTGAGTACTGCAATGATAGTCGTAATGTAATTATGTCAAAGAAAAACATATGGTAACATTAAACACAGTCTGTAGTTTACGCGAGTAGTACACATTTAAATAAAACAGTTTAACGGTTACGACGTATAATTTTCAAATAAGTTTAACTAATATTGCATTTTGAACCGTTAAATTATTCTATTTAAATAAAGTAACATTTTTCACATGCACATGAAGGCTTTATATAAAAAGACACGGTAGCTCAATTGTTAGTGGGGCACGGACACGGTAGCTCAATTGGTTATACATTGACATAGTAAGCTGTGAATGTCGGTTCAAACCCCGCACGTTTCGTAGTTTTCGTAGGGTTTTATTAAAATTTTGTATTTTTAATTCATTGTTAATACAAACTTCTTAGTCGTGGCATTATATTAAATAACAGTGCAATCCCAAGGAATGAGGTGAACAAATATTTGTGTTTTTTTCACGCGCAATGTATGCTCAATAACCAACGGGTCATGGTTCGATTCTCTCCGGGTCCAACATTTGTGTCTAACAAATTTATATTTTTTGTGACGTATGTTGGACTTCAAATTTCGTTAATATCGAAATTCCACCCGGGTCACAAACTACCATCTACAGATGAAAAAAGCGTTATATTTAATCCCGACAGTGCACGTCTTTGAAGTATTATATGACGGTACATCACATCCATCCAAACAATATAAGATAGTTTTAATCATGTAGGTTCTTTACCCTGCATGATTAAAACTATCTTATACTGTTTTGTAGTAGATTTGAAACATCAGGTCGCAGTTAAGATTAGTTAACTAATATAAGTCGCGTTTTATATCGTTAAAAGTTCACGATAATAAGTTTTTATCTATGTAATATTTAGATTGTAGAGAAAGCTTATATCTATGTTTTTAATGAACGAATAAATGTTAATTATTTTAATCTTTAAAGACCTCTATCGTTTTCGGAGTTGATAACCATCATCTGTAGTTTATGGTCTTTAGACCGAACCGATTGTCGTATCTGTTTATTTTGAATAATCTGTGGCGTCCCGGTATCCCGGTGGGCGGTCAACTCCTGCGCAGTAATGCGATATAGTTTTGTGATTACGAGACAGGAGGTCTGCGCGATTAATGAAACGTGTTCGTTGTTTTATCCATTCACTCAGGCAGGGTCAAGTTCAGATGTAGCCTAGTGGGTTTCATCTGATAAAAATGATACATAATACATAAATGTTGTATGTAGTTTACATTTAAATAAAAACATTTTTAACGGTTTAACACGCGACATATATTATATTATACAAAACTATACTAATATATTAAAGTTGAAAACTTTGTTTATTTGTTAGAACGCGCTAATCTCAGAAACTACTGGTTAAAATTGTTATTGTGTTGGTTAGACTATTTATCGATGAAGGCTTAAGTCGTTAAATATCAGGCTGCGAATAATAAGAGCGAAGAAATAAGAAAAAAACGTCGGAAATTCTTTATTTCAAATCTTTGAGGGTAAACGTTGCGTGTGCTGTGAAAACGGTAAAAAATGTGTGTGTGTTCTTCTTCAAATGACCAGTCAATAATTTAAAGTTAATTTAGTTTATGTTAAAGTTAATAAATTAATAAGTTTAGTTAATTTACTCTATGAAAGATTTAAATTACAAAATATATATCTTTAAAAATTTATGACACTGGCCATTGATAATTCGCAGACCACAGATAAAATTATTAAATGTAGCCTCTGTGGAGTTTTTTTGCCTGTTTAAAAGTAACATGAGAATTTTATGGTTAATTTCTTTGTTACAGAGACTTACAAGGAAACAACATAAGTCTGATATTCCAGAGTGATTTCCAGAAGCAGAAGGATTTGAAGACATTGTAAGTTAAACATATTTATTAAAGCTACAGCACACGTATTACGCGCATAAGCGTAGGAGTTCCTGGATTCGATTTCCTTAAAAATGTGTCAAAGTAAGATGCAAAAGTCCGATTAACGTTTTGTATATGAATGAAGTCACAGTGAAACAGTCACAGAAATATGTCTCTTTTTAACATAAGTGGCGAAATAGAATCTCAAATATGGACTTATCCAATTACATAGAGCAATGATAGTATTGTTTAGAAATACTTAGATAAATTAAAAATCGAATTTTAGTTTTTTTGGATTCTAAAATAATTTGCAATAACACTGAAAAATATTAAAGTTTACAGATACTTAGATAAATGTAATTTAAATAAAACACTTTAAACTGTTGAAATTGCAATATATTTGCTAAAATATATATGACTTGTGTAAACTACAGACTATATTATTCAAGTATTATCTGTAGTTTACGCGAGTATAACACATTTAAATAAAACACTCTTAAAGGCCGAAATGCCGTAGTTAAATGAAATTAGAAATAAGTTATCTAATATATTTCGTGTTTTAAACCGTTGAAAGTTTTTTATTTAAAGACAATTTATGAATAAACATGTTATATAAAGACGTCATGAAGAACGCTCGCACCACAAACTGCATATTAATTGTTTTATTCGTTTGTTGCCTAGATGTTTTAATTTTTTTTTTTCTACAGACAACTGCAAGAGAACCAAATCCACACAATCGAGAGAGATGCTTTCGTCGAATTGACAGCTTTAGAGAACTTGTGAGTACTAACAAGACTATTTGAGACTGCTAGAGGCAGAGTGGCCTAATAACAAAAAACATTATTTTCAATAAGGATAAAAATAAAAGTACACCATTAAGTTAGACGAAAACGAATTTGTCCTATTATTTGTGTAAGAATTGTGTTATCAATTTTCGGCCACTGTCCTCTTGTAGATTAAAATTTTCTGACTATGAAAATGTAAAAAAGTCCTTCTACTCTGCCTCTAGCGGCCTTATTTGTTGACAAGACGTGATCCGTCCCGATCTCCCTACGACCAGTAAGAACCATGGTTCTGGATAAAAACTATAAAATACATAATTATTGCTAAAATATATTTGTTTATGTTTTTTTTTTTAAATAAAATTTGTTTGCAAACCACATATTACAATTGATTTAGCTAAGTATAATTATTTTCAAGAACACACTTTGTGTATTTCTTATGATAAAGGAGGACTAGCTAGGGGTACACTTAATGGTAGTTGAGCCCAGCCTATAGCATCTAAATATATATATATAGGTGTATAATCTATAGGTGTGCTGTCGCCGACTGGGATATATCACTTACCATCAAGTGAAAACCAATGCTCGTCTGACGCAATCGTATATGAGTTAAATCCTTTGAAATACATTATTTTAACATATAAAAATGGCCGCCAAAGCCTAATACAACTTATAACTACGCGATGTATTTAAATATTTATGAGAATGTAAGAATCATACGATACACGGGTATTGCGGAGTAAAGATGCGCACGAGATGATTATGTAACAACGGGATTTTACATTTACAGGAAGCTATACAATAATCGGCTGAGCCACTTGCCTGATGGTCTTTTTGTGAGATTGAGGCATCTACAGCGTTTGTGAGTAGTTGGTATGGGCTGAACCCCACCTCCCCTTTCGCCCCAGCCCCAGGTGTGGTCCCGAAACATTCGAGCTGATTGAGGCATATAAATGTATTTTCTTGCTAAAATCTAGTATTTCCGTTGTTTACAATTAAATTCTACTTATCTAAGTAAAAAATGAATTCTGAATCCTATTTCAAGTCAAATTATATATTCTTATATTGTTCTAAATCAAACTATAAAAACAAGATACATTATATTTTGATTTCACATAATATAAAGTCCCAAATATTTTTTGCTTAAACATTAACTATCTAATTTTCTTTGTTCAATTTTCATATGTATTCACTTTTGCAAGATATGTATTTAAATACAACACTAACTGTTTAAAACACGATTTATATTAGTTAAGCTATTATTAATATTTTAACTACGGCCCGACGTTTCGGTGCAGCAGCGGTGGTCACGGGTCTCCATGTCGAAACTCCCCGAAACGTCGGATCGTAGTAAAAATAATTATCAAATAAGTTTAATTAAAATATATCGCGTTTTAAATACTTAAAGTGTTAATTTAAATGTGTACTACTCGCGTAAACTACAGACAACATATGTATTTTTTATAAATTCTATCGTCTGTGACATCAAAGAAAATACAGTAGCTCAATCAGCCACTGACAATTCAGCTCATCATTGTCCTCTTTCTCATGTCTTCTGGTGCTTAAACGTCATTCTCTAGCTTAAGCCAAACCCCTTGCTTCCCGGGCTCTCGACGACATTCATCTGTCAAAACTGACAAGATGTCAAACTTGACCTGTCATCTGTCGGCGTTTTGTGAATAAATACTTTTTCGACATACAATTTTACATTATAAAAAACAAAGTTTTTCTTCAAGATAAAGCCATGACGAATGGATGTGGTAAGTGAATTAAAGACTACGTTTATGGCATTATTTTAAAGGAAAATCAATATTTATCACAGAACGCTCCCATCACACCATTATTCTTCTGAAACAATAATATTTCCCGCTAGGTGCTCCCCGTACGGGCTTTTGGTGTCCGGTGTAACCTCGTGCTAAAACCTTTAATTCGTCTGTACATATTAGATGCGTAACAATTATTAAGTGTATTTAATATCTGTGGTCCAAAATCGACTTTAATAGGAAGCTCAGATTATACTTAATAATAATTAATAGTATTTCAATTGTTTTAATAGTTACGTCAATTTAACTGTCACATTTTGATTTAGCTGTCAAGGTAAATTTTAGGCTTGCCCAATTTAATCTGTGGTGTGACATAACTATCGATACAGATAAAACAAACAACTCCTCGTATAATTAGAGTTTCCTATTATATATTTTCTTATTTCAAGGTATTATTGTTATTTTATAAGGATGTTTTAGATATTAAGAACAATCTCATCTTTACTTTAAATTCTTAAGTTAAAGCGTTTTTATGTGGTGATTACTATTGATTAAAAAAAAATCATAAAAAAGAAAAATTGTACGTACTAACTAACTAAATAAAAGACAGCCTTATCGCTAGCCACCAATCTCTTCCAGGCAACTTGAAATACAGGAGAAAAGAAAGACATACTAAGTGGGTAGGTGTTAGGAATAATAAATAAAAATCTCTTTTCTTAAGATTCTTAGCACAAATATAACTCCTTTGCCTAATAAAAGAAAATGTAAGACATCATTCTTAAGTGTTATGATAATAATTTATTTAATAGTTGCACACAAAAATACAAAATATGATCTAAGATTAACTTAATAACTAAACATAAACAGATTATGCAAATATACAAAGCTTCAAAAAAAATAATTATGGCAACTCCTGACACAGAAGCTACTCCGCGTAATGTTACGAACACACTTGTGTGGCAACACTGATTTTCAGTGGCCAGAAAAATAAACAACTTATGCGATAAACAAATGTGACATAATATGTATATTTAAAACAAACATAAAGAAATAAAATAAAATGGACTGTGTGTAGTTTACGCGAGTTTAAAATTAAGCACTTTAAGGGTTTAAAACGCGATATAGTTGTATAAAAATTATTTTTCACTCCGGCCCGACGTTTCGGCTGCTTTCCAGCAGCCGTGGTCTCCCTTTGACCGCGGCTGCTTCATTTAAATTAAAAAGGAGAAAAACTGTTAAATACTGTTTTCAAATTTCCTAAGTAAATATTCTTTCAGTTTAATTTTAAATGACTTCAAACTTAAGTCATCTGCTAACTGATCAATTTAGGAGCTAAATATGGTCACAAAAGATGACATTCTCCCAAGGAGAGTACAAGGAAGGGATTCTTCTAACAAATTGACCTCATTCGGTACTCATCAATGTTAATATCAAATCACATTACGTCTAGTGCTTGACTGAATGCGCTCTGTAGTACAATCGCGGAGAGATCATTTAACTCGAGTATTCTTTACTACCGGATGGTGTACAGTCGCGAAGAAAGTACAAATTACTAAGCAGTGATCTATAATCATTGTTTGTTTGGACGTACTAATCTCAGGAACTACTGTTTCGATATTTAATATTTTTGTGTTGATTAAAGCATTTATAGCGAAGAAACAGCGGGAAAATGTGGAAAGACGCGGAAAATGATTCATCTTTGTAGGTTTTCGATGCTGCGAAAACGGTTCGAAATACTCTAAAAATATGTATGAAAGAATGATTTCCCTTTAAATGCTGTATGAGACCAACGTCGTGGATAACAGCTTTTTATAAAACAAATTTAGATGCTAAAAATAACTATCACACGCGGGCGAAGTCGCTAACACAGCTAGTTAATAATAAAGCAAGGATAAATTTGAAAGAAAGAAGGAAACTTACTACTTTTACACAAAAACATAAGACTTATTACTAAATAAAAAAATTAAACATAATTTAATCTTAACAGAATAAAAAAATTGTGTGTGGCAGATGGTAGAATAATATTTTACTCAGCTTATATCAAGTCCTTTGTTGATCTGGAACTGATTTTCAGTAAGTCTATGGAGACATCTGCCGATGTAGCATCGTTGTGTATCAAGTTTAAAAATTTAAAAAAAAAAACTCTTTACTTTCAAAAAAAAAAACAAAACAAACCCCGTATAATTATTTTGTTCCATTCATCTAAAATATTTAAACATAGCATTTAACTTACAAGCCAATATTTAAATAAGTCACTAAGCTTTAACAGATTATTCAAACTACGGCCCCATGTTTCGGATACTAAACTTCACCGCATAAACTACAGACAGTGTTTAAAGCCAATATTATCATATTATATTTAATCAATACATAAAAATAAAGCCCAGTTCAGGCCACAAGAAAGCAATATTTATAGAAAACAATGATTTACGTCGACATCCGTTTTTTGCTTGTTGCGGGTATTTTCTTTGATGAACCCTAAAAATTTATCAATAGAAAAATAAATAAATAAAAATCTTATCTAAACAGATTCTATTTAAACCTAATAAATCTTATTTATGGATATTATCTATACTTAAAGATATCAAAGCAATAAATCTCAAGTACATTGTAAGAGAAATTACTTCTGTACACGACTGTACACAACTAATACGGTCCAATGGGCGACGTGAGGACGCGGCGAGTGTGGGGATCAGTCGATAGTTTTATATCGATAACGTGACGCGATGTTTGGAAGATGGGATTATGTCTTACAATATATTCGGTAGCTTTTTATACTTTGAATATTATTCAAACGATTTTAAAAGTACTTTTTCAATTACATAATTGTATTTACACTACGTGTTATATTTGCGAATTTGACGATTTGTGTACGGTACCTACTTAAAACAAAAATCTATTCATTTAAAAAAAATACAAATAAAACGGTAGTTCCATTGGTTAGAGCAGCAGCACAGAACGTTATGGATGGCGGTTCAAGTCCCGCCCGTGTCGTAATTTTATTAAATCTATATACATTTTTAATTTATATAATACCCTCATGTGCACATATGAAAAATATTCGAGTTTTCAAAAGAAAGGAGGGGAAAAGCTGATATCTTGGCATAGTCTATAGATTATGCGAGTAGTAGTTACTCGTACACATTTAAATAAAACACTATTTAATAATAAACTGTTTAAAACGCAAAATTTATTAATTCAACGTCAGGCCGTACCTACTTAAAATATATTGAAAACAACTTAACTAATATAATAAAGTATATTTTAAATAGCATACATTTTTTAATAAAACAATTTAACGGTTTAAAACGCGATATATTTTAGTTAAAATTGTTGAAAATAATTTTTAATTCCGGTCCGACGTTTCGGATGCTTGCAGCAGCCGTGGTCACGGGGTGGCTAAAGATGGAGGATGTCTCTGACATCAAAGTAACTGCTACGCTAACAGTACACAGCAGCAAATATATCGCGTTTTAAACCGATAAATTTGGTTTTATTAAATGTGTACTACTCGCATAAGCTACAGACACTATTTAATAATAACATTTTTCGATTTCTTATATCGTTCTCTAAATCCCAGACGAAATAAATCCAGCTTAATCCTAGATTAGTCCCAACTTTACAGCTTCAATAAATTCAGTGAATTCTTAATTAAAGTTTTCTCAGCGTTTCAACTATTAACGAAACTTTGAACTTTTCATATTCAGCTTAATTCAAACATATCTTGACCCGAAAACCTTTTGGTTGCGCGTTTCAAAACATTTCGGTGTAAAATTGGTTTTGATGTACATTCATTAGGTTTTGCACAACTTTTTATAATTTTTACCTAAAAATAACATACATTAATTGGAAATTATGAAATTTTATGTATATTCGTCTACCAAAAATAAATTAAATATACAAGGTATATTTTCGATCTAGCATAAGAGCCGATTAAATGATAGAGGACAGACGAGCTTGGAAGGTGATGACCCCAGCCATATAACATCCATCCCAGATGTGCTATCGACCTAGTATTGGAGTTATGCTACCACCCCTTTAATATCCAGATTTCCAGATGAAGTCCAAAATGTTTTCAGAAACATTATAAATTCATAAG